CTGCTGAACAGGAGCAAGCAGCCAGGGCTAGTGATGCCATGCCAGTCTGGAGGCATGAAGTCACCCTGAGAGTCCTTGCAGGCCTAGGGTTGTCATTGCCAACAAAGACAAATTGATGCAAAGGAGAATGGAAAAGCCTCCATATCTCTATTTTGCCTTAAGTTGGTTTTGATGCCAGCAGAGTGAGAAAATGCCAGAGGCTCTGGGTGGGTGCCCCATCGTAAATGCACCAAACAATTCCTAAAGATTTTCCAAAACACTACTCTGTCGATAAATTGCAGCACTTTGAATTAGCACTATGCCTTTATATATAAGGGAGAGATTGTACACCATTCAGTGGCACTAGACGAATTCGTTTCTTAACCAGTTGCTTTCTAGACTGGCTCCAATATTTAGTAAAACAGAGATTTTTAAAGCTATAATAGAATTATGAGAAATTAGGTTGGAATTAGATGTTAGCTTTTTATTGTGGTGATGACAAACATGATAAATCTATTTATTTCTATGCTACAACAATTTTGTTATAGCTTTAGTAAAATTATGATAAACTGCAAAGAGTTGAGGATTCAGTTCTTGTGGCAGCAATAATTAGAAAATATGGTCATTAAAAATATAGAAAAGAGTTCCCACATTACTTGCCTGCCTTGCCACTGTTAAGCATAGTTATTTTCTGAACATTAAGCAAGGCTGATTGGAACCCAAACTACATGTGATACGTAAATTTCTCCTACTCCTTAACAATGGAGAAATGGAGACTGCAGTCTTGATCAGAGGACTCTGGGGAGGGGCTGCTGAACTATTCTCTTTCCAGTCGTTTTCTGCTCAATGTCACCCACAGAACAAAAGATGTCGGTAGAAAAGCAGATGAGAGTGATATTGAAGAGAAAAATGGCTGGGTATGAAAGGGTTATGTAGCACACACACAGATACCCCCAGTCACCTGCTCAACATTTCAGCATTTTTTAAAATTAAAGGAGAAATATTTGCAACTGAACATGGTGTCATTTGGGCCAACATCACTGTATTAGTTAAAATAACAGATTAAAATAACCACTTATCAATCATGATCTTTAAAGTCAAACCCCAATGTATTGTTTCCTTTCCCACCACTATCAAGAACTCACTTCCTGTCTCCCAAGAGGCCCCTTTCATTGGATGGCAACTAGGCTCAATCTCAAGCAGGTGTGTAGAGAAATCTTATTTAGGCTGATTTGGATATATTTTATTCTTTCAGGTACAGTGCCTGCTCATCCTCAAGTGCTCATCGCATCAGTTATAAGGGATCATTAAACCATTGCTTGATACACACATTTTCAGATACAGTTTGTCATTTCAGGAATGTGTCTTGGAAATCCTCACGTTCGCATGCGTCTTCTCTCCTTCTCTTGCATGCAGCCTGAAAATTAATCATGTCTGGTTTGTGTTAAATCATTGCTTTTTTTCTATGTCTGAACAACAAACTATGGTTACGTTCCCTTGTCTCTAAATTAGGATTACATTGTATGCTTGGATCCTGATTTGGAAGAAAGAGAACAAATCAGAGTTTGTAATGCACATGAAAAAACAAACCATGGTATGTCACAAGAATGATTTGTTTCCAACCTGTTTGTGATAGTATAAGGGACGTCCAAAGCCATAACCCTTGATTGCATATGTATTGAGTGGTATGCATTTTTATCCATCTTGATGTGCTCACCAAAATGTTAATCCTTTCTTTAGAAGCCTAGACTTAGAGTACCTTTAAATTATGAAGCTATTGTCAAGACTGCTAGCCATCCTTACCTCCTCCATTAGCTTCACCTCAGTCCTTCATTTCTAGAAGAAATTACATTTTGTCTACAAAATCTCATACAGATAAAACAGCATTTCTAATCCTTCCTTAGCTCCTATCTTGTGATTTGCTTACAAAAACATCATTACTAATAGCGACAACACAGAACATGCAGGTCTTCAGTTACTGTGGCTCACTGTGGCAGGTCCTACTACACTGCTGCTCAAAGATGGGATAAAGGGCTGCAGAAACGTATACTGAAAACCATGCACATTTCAAGGTGTCTCCTGATGTGGTTTTTAAGGCACTGTATGCAAGTTCTCTTTAGAGAACAGAAAAAATGTTGTCTAATATGCAAAGCCTTCTACTGGATCGTAAGTGTGGAAAATACAAAAACCACATAAAGTAAGCACAGAAAAATGTTTAATGCCAGTAAATTTGGCTGAAAGGAACTGACCTTTTCAGTGCCTCATCTTGACGCATCATATTATTTTTGGCAAAGATTTTAATACAAAGATAATTTAGTAAAATACCAAGGAACAGAATAACAACATTTAAGTATAGAGCAATGATGGATAATGACAATGAACTCGGTGCAATATATAGCTAAAGCAGGCTGTAACATTGGTCACCAGCAACCGCACAATTAAAATGACAACACAATGAATAACTAATCTGCACTTTATATTCATAGCACTTTCAAGTATATAGCCAAAGCGCAAAATGATTTCTAGAATACCTCTTCAAAGCTTTCCAGCATATGCTTCTGTAAGCGATACAAAAACAAAAAGTTGAAGAAAATATATTCAAACATTTTGAATAACTTATCGCCACAGCTAATCTCCAAATTATGTTTTGTGCAAAGTAAATTTCAGTCTTGCACAGGTCTCCTGATAATATCGTGAATAGCGC